CCCCCCCCCCGGAGCTTCCCAATTCCCCCAGGAGGTGCTACCGCCCACTTTGGGGACCACTGTGATAGAGTCTCCTTAGGGGCACCATAATTCTGAAACATCTTGAAGGCACACAACAACAACAACAACAAGGGCAGTTGGCTCCCCAGCACCATCTAGAGGCAGTTTTGCAACTAGAAAAAATGAAGCACTGCCACCTCTTTGAACTTCCAGTGATACATCCTACTGATATGACCAAGAAAGTGAATACATTGGCATAATAGGAGTTTATCCATGCATATGCCAACAATAGAATTCTGGCTGCAAAGTTTAGAAACTCAAGCTTCCATTCCTATATGTGGGGCTGCCTTGGTCTGAAAACCTCTTTGAGACTTCAGGTGGTGGAGGGCATAGCGATCTCTCAATGGTGATGAGTTGTTAGGAGCTCTTGGCATCTTGGATCCAGGGTGGGCCAAGGCATGAAGCTTGGTGGTAGGACATATGCCATACATGCAGATGGTCCTAGGTTCTATTCCTGGCATTTCCACTTAGAACTTGGAAAAACTCAGTTGAAATCCTGAAGTTGCACTGACAGTAAACGTGGACCACACTGAGCAATGATCTGACTGATACCATATAAGATGGTTTTCTATGTTCCTAATTTAGCCTATAACTTAATATGTAGCTTGATCTCTGGTTCTATATCTTAGTGATTATCATCTCCCTGAGTTCTGTTGCCAAAACTGGCTCAACATACCTTTTTCATTTTTACCCATGTAACAGGTAACAGGGACAGGACATGTAAAGAAGATGTTGTCATTTGCTGACCAACAGCCTGTGAAACTTGTTGTTAGCTGGAACTTGTTGTTAACTGCCATTAAGTCTACTTCAACTTATGGCAGCCCTATGAATGAGAGACCTCCAAGTCACTCTGTTATCAACAGGTCTTCTCAGGTCTTTTAAGCTCAAGGGCAGGGCTTCCTTGATTGTTATGTGGTCTTCCACTTTTCCTACTGCCTTTTACCTTACCAAGCATCATTGCCCTTTCTAACGAGACACATGCTATATCCAAAGCATGCAGTCTCAGCTAGTCATCTAGAGAGAGTTCAGGTCTGATTTGCTCTAGGACCCATTTATTTATCCTTTTGGCAGACCATAGTATCTGCAGAACTCTTCTCCATCACCACATTTCAAATAAGTCAATTTTCTTACTGTCAGCTTTCTTTACTCTCCAGCTTTCAGAACCATACATATAAATGGGAAATACAATGGCATAGACGATCCTGACTTTGGTATTCCATCATATATCCTAGGGTCTTCCTAAAGTGCAAATTCCAGCACAATATTTTCTTTCTAGAAAATAAGATATATAAAGAAATAGCCCTACTGCCATCCTGATAGTGATTTACAAAAGTGTTAAGTGAAACTTAAGCTTGTATTATTCACTATTCTAGTCATTACAGAGTCCAAGTTCTCTACTGACTGTGCAACAAACAAACTCCCCCAATCTCCTTTTAAGTTGCTGCAGTTCCCTGCTCCCACATGGCCTTTTAGTAGCTGGTGGGGAAGGGGGGTGCATACTATGTGAGCAGCATCCAGCCATGTTCCTATTGCTGGATGCACAGCAACAGCATCCTCCTCCAGGACCTCTGGAGAATCGCTGAAAGGTCCAGGGGATGCCTTTCACTGTGCATCGCAGGGGTAGGCAACCTTTCCCCTTTAAGGGCCGAGGTACTTCGGTTCCCAGAATCCCAGGAGCTATTGGCCAACTTGGTACTATTGGTCAACATGGCTGAGGTTTCTGGGAGCTGAAGTCCCTTAAAGGGGAAAGGTTGCCTACCCCGGAGTTAGAGGAACATAACTAGACCCCACTCCACCACCCTCTGCTCTCTACTGGCTGTTAAATGCTGTGTTCGGTGGGCTGCACAGCTTAAAAGGTGTATTGGGAGGTTCAGGGGTGAAAGCTCTTGACATTTTGCAGGGAGGGGGTTTGCAGAAAAACTGCATGGATTTTAGAGAAAATCCATGATGAAGCAACTTGTGTCTAGCTGAATCTTGCTCATGGATCATTGATTTTGCATTGTGAGGTTGGATTTTCCATGTACATTACGGATCTCATCCAGAAGAGGAGGAGGAAGAGGAGGAGGAAAAGTGCCACAGAATCAGTGCTTCATTTCTGCTGTGACAGTTCTGGACACCACAGGTCAAGAAGGATACTGACAAGCTGGAATGTGGACACAGGGCAACAACCTAGATGGTCAAAGGTCTCCCAAAACCAAACCCTATGGGGAACAACTTAGGGAGCTGGGTGTGCTTAGCATGGGGTAGAGAAGGCTGAGAGGTGACATGACAGCCATCTTTAGATATATGAAGAAGATGTAGAAGATGGAATGAGCTTGTCTTCTGCTGCTTCGGAAACTAGAACATGAGCCAATGGATTCATGTTAGAAACAGAGATATTCCATCTAAACATTAGCAAGAACTTCTTTACTGTTCAATAATGGGAAAGACTTCCTCAGAGATGGTGGACTCTCCTTCTTTGGAGGTCTTTAAACAGAGGTTGGATGGCCATATCTCAGACTTGCTTAGTTGCATATTTCTGTATGGCGGGGGGGGGGGTTAGACTATGTGGAACCTATGGCCCTTCTAACTCTATGATTCTATGAAAGCAGGGAATGGAAGCTGATTCTTGTGATTGGTTTTTTTTGACACAGACAGGCTTCAGCACTAACAAGCTTAGTACTTATTCTGGAATTGTAAAAAACCAACAACAAACAAACAACTTGGATTTAAAAAAAAACCTTGAAGATTGTCGTGATCAAGAATTGTGAAATTATGTTATTGGAAAGTGATAAAAAAGGAAAAAACATGTACACCTACATCTCGATTACCAGAAGCTTGGAGTTATTTAATGGAATTGATTGGAGTGCAAGGACAAATGTCTGCACAGCATACAATTAACTTACAGAATTAATTGCCAGTGGGTGTTATGAAGGCCGCTAGCATTGTCAGCTCTTTAAAAGGATCCTCTTTAAAAGGATCCCACCAATCTGTCGAAAATGGGTCTATTGCTAGCTATTAGCCAAGATTGCTCAAAATGAAACCTTGGTGATCAGGGACAATATACTTTCAATTACAACAGGCTGGAAAGGAGGAAGTATTAATGTCTCCGTTCCACCTTGTTACAAGCTTATCAGGGCAACTATTTGGCCCACAGTACTGGCAAGGGAACAGAATTAAATTGGCCTTTGGTCTGACCCGCAACAGGAATTCTTCAGGAGAGCAGAGCTGCTAGTTCAATCTCTGCTGCCTTGCCCTCTATATTGCTTACCCTTTACCCAGCTCTGGGGAAGCCTGGAACTCCCTGGCAGAACTAGATGCTTCAAAGACTTCACTCTGCGAATGGCTTAGGCTCTTGTCAAATGTTCATAATCCTATTAAAACCATTTTAAGGATAAGAGGGAAAAAATCCATCAGAGCAAAAGTGTCAGGCCTTCATCCTAAGGAGGAGGTCATGGCTAGGAAAGAACTCAGTTAAGGATATAAAACAGCATAAACAGGCAAAAATAATGGGAGAAGAGCCTCACAGCTGCTCCTGCCCTCTGAAATGCCCCTCCATGAGAAGCAAGGCTGGCCCCCTCCTTGCTTGCCTTTCGTCAGCAACCAAAAAGCAGGCTTTTAATGTATAATCATAGGGTGGCTTTGCTATTTGTTATATAGGATGGGTATCATGGTTTTAATGTTTGTAATTTTTATTGTTTTTAGATGAGATTTTTAACTGTTTTATTGTAATATGTTTTTAGAATTTTATTTGTGAGCCGCCTTGGGTCTCCTCCAGGAAGAAAGGCAGGATATAAATCAAATCAATCAACCAATAAATAAATGATCATGGGAGAGTTGGGGATTTCATTCTGGGCTGCTGGAAGTGTCAGTCACTGACAGTAAAACAAAAGGCTCATTGCCATAATTGGTATTATGCCTGCCTACTATATATCCTCAGTGTAGAAAGGAAGTAATATAGGCTACATCTGCTCTGCAGATTTAATTCCGTTTGATACCATGGGCCAATGCTAGGTGGTTGTACTTTTGTGAAATAGTCAGCCTACCTTGTCAGAGTGCTCTGGTGCCACAACAAACTACAAATCTCAGGCTGGAGCCACGACAGTTAAAGTGGTGTCAAGCTGCATTAATTCTGCAGTGTGGCAGCAGTCACAATCAGATAATTACAGTGAGCCCAATGCTGGCAGAGCAAGGCCCGCAGTAGATAATTTCCCCCCCCCCCAATGAAATGAAGTAAGTGAGCAGAATAGGAGGCATAATGTGGGGGTCTGGGAACTTGATATGTTTCTCCATCTTGTCAGTTTTATATTTTAATTGCCAAGGCTCAATCCTTAGTGTTCTTGGGATTTAGGGTAAGAAGAGGTATTTAAATGGGAGCCAGCATGGTGTAGTGGTTTGAGTTTTGGGCTAGGACTCTGTTTTTCACTAATTCCGAATTTGAATCCCTGCTCAGCCATAGAAACCCAATGGCCAAGTCACACTCCCTCAACCTTACAGGAAGGCAATGGCAAATCACCTCCAAATAAATCTTGCCAAGACAATCCTATGGTAGGTTTGCCATAAACTTCAAGGTGCATAACAGCAACACAACACAAAGTATTTAGAAGGTACTGAGGTACTTTGATACAAGATAGATGATTAAACCATTATTTTTTACACAGCCCACCATATAGGAACCCAGGAACCACCATATTTTCTGGCATATAAGATGACTTTTTAACCCAGGAAAATCTG